ATGTCCTCCTGTTATTTCCGATGCAATTGATATTTAGATAAAAATGTTCTGTGTTAAACGTACAATTTAAACCGGTATTTTTCAATCAAAAACCCTTTCTACCTGGGCAGTGATCAGTGACAAGGAAACGAGTCAATTTGTCTTCCGTCGTTAGAGAGGTTAACCAACGTTGGAGAGTGGCTGGAGCTGGGTTATTTCTGCCATGTGAAAAATTTGTTCATTGGAGATTTTTTTGTCAGATTTTCATCTAAACGCATTACGTTATATTTTTGAATAATTGTTTTTGTCAAAATTGTATTATTAAGTAATGGATTAGAATATTTATTCAACAACGTACAGTGCTTATTTATAAAAGGTATACAATGTAAACACAACTATACTTCTTACTATGCATTTTTACGGTTATTATTTGCATATGAGTCGTGTACAGAGATGGGCGGAGTATGGGTCAAAATTGACCCACCCTCGAACGGTTACAGTTGCTGGACACTATATCTACAACATAGACATACATTGTACACATCAAATGCATAATACATGTTGTGTAAAGTATTATCAATCATACGTGCATCGTACACATATCTACGTGCCGTAAAGTATTACCGATCTGTTGAACGTTTATTCATCTTTTATGCCACTCACCGTCAATTAACATTCGCGGAAGAAAATTAATGGGCTCGCATTAGTTGTTACCATCGAAGGAAGGCCTGCGAACGTGTAACTGACACAATTTTCATTAAATCTTCGTTCATTAATAATTAATACGTTGCTACCTTCCTCGCGGTGAATTTACGTAATTATACATATGGTAAGAGGTGCTTGCCAATGAAACATTGTAATTAACGAGAACACGGAGGATAAAACAATTATCCCCACTCGAGCCCCCATTGTGCCTTTTAAAGTCCAGTCACGGAACCTCCGTTTAATAATTCGCGGTGTATGCACTTCAAAAATAATTCGCGGTGTAGACGTTTAACAAAAAATGGCGGCACGCCAAAGAAATCTTAATAACCCATAAATACATCGCCGTGTCCCATCTAACCTGGGTAATTCCTTTTAAAGGTTCTTCGCCCTTCGAACGATGTACGGCGGTACGAAATAATTTTTAACGCGATGATTTTACCGCTAATTATACAAGGTGGGACAAAAGTCGTATCACACAGTATATACCTATATATTTTTGTGAAAAATTATATCCACGCGCCACTGCGAATATTTCGCGTTGGTTTGTGGGATCTTTAATCCTACATATTTTCTACATAACCTATACAGCTGCACAAATTAACCGACAAGAGGAGAAGGGGGCTAAGAATCGCGAGAAACCACTAAACCGATACACAGTCTCGATGATTAAACACGATCTAGTTCGGTCTCGGAGTTTCATTCAACAAAGTCCTCGCCGAGGGAGTTCACACCTTCTCCCACCAGGGTCCAATTAATTCTTGGCCGTGAGGCATGACGGAAAAGCGGACGGAAACGATTTCTCCGCCCGGCTTTTCTCACGATCGTCGATCACGCGAACGTCCTTGGTTTCCGAGTGCGCGGTGCTGCAGCGGTGTGGCGGCTTGCGAAACACCCAGCCGTCGTCCGTTTCCACTTAACTGTAACCCGACGAAACGAATCATGAGGGGTCGTGCACGCCGCGAAGACGTTCAATTTAATTTCCCACGTGAATTCAATCTGCTCGCGTCGTGACGCGGTTCCCCGTTTGACGATCGTCACGCGTGTGTATGTGTGTGTGTGTGCGTGCGTGTTGTGTATACCTTTGAGAATTGTGTCCGATGATGATCAATCAGGAGTGAATTGCGCGAGGCATCGATAAAGAGAGGGACGCGCGACACACGCGAACGAGTATACGTAATGGCTCCCTCGAGGATTTTACGGGGATCTCGCGATTCCTCCGATCAATATTTAAAAGTCCCCGAAGAAGTACGATGCCCGTGGAGATCGAGGATCGAGGTGAGAATCATTACTCGGTGTCATCGATCACTTTGTGCCTTTTTTTTGTCCGACGCGTTCGTGATTTATAACCTATCAGCGTGTCCGCCGTTGAACAAAAATTGTTAACAACTTAATGACGAGATGACGCACGGCGACGTTCGAAGAAATCGTATTTGCAGTAAGTTTTCATCGGGCAGGATACTTATTATTTGTCATTGATAGTATAACTTATGGAATATATGATTGTTTGAAATTCGATATATTAAAAGAATTTACATTCACTCACGAGTTAACCGAATACGTAATATGTAGGATAAAGTGGTATTTTTTGTTTTTGAAATTGTGTAGTGCATCGGTATACACGAGAAGAAATTGTCTTTAAAGTTAGTAATAATTCCATAAATTGCTTCGTGATATACATACTAGAATCCATGAGTTATATCAGAGGGGGAAAAAGTTAACCTCATTGCTACATGTAAATGTGCACTTTGCAATTCCAACGAGTTGCATAATCTTAAACGATCAGATCTATTCTCGAAGAGTTTCTTTTTTCGATTTTTTTTTTGTGGGGTCAGTTACATTCAAGAGGACACAGGCGAACCTATACATACTCGGGCTGTTATGAATAGCAGTAGCATTCGAATTTGATGCTCGAATCATTCGAATATTCGAATTATTCGACCTATTCGAAATATTCTTTTAATTTCTCCGTACTATTCGAATAAATTATTTCAAGTATTCGAATTATTGGAATAGTTCAAATATCCGAATTCTTACATTTCTAATACATACCGCCTGTCCGGTGTCGCGTCGGTAATTTCAGTTTACGTATCGAATGTCAGTCGTACATACATATTTTTCAAGGAAGGAGACGGTTCGGCCGGATAATAAAAAGAAAGCTCGTCTGGTAATTGGATAAAGGAAGCCCCACACCGCTTTGTGCCGATCTGCTTTCTGTGTCAGCAACTACCGGCTGGGCGAGATTCGCCGTGTTTCAGCTGAAGACCTCACGGTCGTGGAGATAATAATCCGTCAAGATAACCGTTTTTTTTTTCTTGCATTGATACAAATCGCACTTCCCTGGTCGATCGCGTGAATCCACGTTTAACACGATTATCCTCGAGTCTCATTGATCATTTCTGACATCATGCTACGGAGACCCGACGCATGGTTAGCATAAAAAATTGTTTATTGTTATCGCTGTAGGAACGTTTACGCGAATATCGATTGCCCAGTATTTCTTCTAGACACGAAACTCAACGAAGATCGCCCAGCTGGAAGCTTCCTTTAACTGTCTCGTATTGTTTTCGTTTCTTCTGGTGTTTTGTTGCGTACCATGCGTGTCCGCCCCGAAGTCGTCACGCGTGAAGACCGTGCGTAGTAGGTGGGACAAATACCGTTGGACGACACAAAAGTCGTAAGCCACTGTCGCGAAATAGTTCACATGAAAATCAGTGTAACCAGATCTTTAACTAGTTTCTCTGAACCTTAGGCAGAGTTGAATATAAAGAGGAAAGTAGCTGATTTCAGCTTACGGTTTTTCGCAGATATCATTATCTTAAGGCGGGATTCATAGTCACGACTTATTCTTAAGCAAATGCTTAAGTCCCTAGTTATAAATGTGTAGTCCATACGTATACACGTATATATTCATAACTGGGGACTTAAGCATTTGCTTAAGAATAAGTAGTGACTATGAATCCCGGCCATAAAGAAAGGGATTTGCGATCGTGCAAAGTTCACGGAATGACATACGTGAGACAGATGGCGACACTTGTCGGGATAGTCTCGGAAAGAACAACGCGGGAAAGAACTCTTTACGGGATATTGAACTTAAAACGATTCGATTGACAGAAGGGATCAGGGAGGTGCAATACCGGTGGAAATAGGCGATAGAGAGAACCATGCAGTCGACGAGTGCTCCCGAAATGAGTTTATTTTTGGTCCACGGCCATCGGCCACGTTTCATGCACGTTTTCTTGCGAAATCGGTTTTGTATATTAATGGTACCGTTACTAGTCAAGACGCCGCTGCATCCTGGACTATTTTTGGGGCGTATTATCATCACGAAAATATCGGCCCCGTTCAATATCTAGATGGCGGGTCCCCTCCTACGCTTTTCGTTGCAGAGCAACACGTGTTACATAAATCTCTCACAAATTGACAAAAGAAGAGAATGTGTGGATAGAATTACCGTAAACATTGAAATTGATGTGCAAATTTTTTTTTTACAAAACGATTCATCATAAGAAAAATCAAGAACGCAATCTTATACAGGGTGTCCGCACGAACAGTATACAGTCCTTTATTTCGTAAACTATTTGAAATACAAGAAAAGTGTTTAGATAAAATTGAAAGGTACGAGGGCACTAATTAACGGCCTATGGCGAATTTATTTTTAACATTAATATTTCATGGGATACGAAGGTGAAGTTTTTATATTTTTTATTGCGTACACCCTTTTTCAAATAATTTTAATGATTCCAGATTACGTTGGAACTTCCCAGTTCGTTCTTCATTAGTATACTGCGGATATTTATGCATTTATAGCATTATTTAAGTTCGAAAATTCAACAAAATAAAGGTTTTAACATACTTCAACACTATCTATATGTTATTATTAACGTAATAAAGTCTCTGACACGAAATTCAGAATTCTGCATTATTTTAATTTTTACACGTTTCTATCTGAAATTGCATATTTGCATAAACATCTACTCCAGTCTACTCATTAGGATCATGTTTTGACAATAGGATTATGCAATTTATTGGCCAGTTCAAGACCCTTCATTCAAAATCTTTCGTCAAAAATGGTTTCTTCGAATTCGCGTCGATTATGTTAAATCAAAATCGTGTAAAAACAGTTTCTGTACAAACAGAATTGGGTGTACCTACTGTTCGAGTCGGGGACACCCTGCTGTACGGAGTTGCACCGATCGCGTCAGGTGCAACGATTCAGTGTCACGTAACGCCCCGAGAGTTAATGCTGCGTAATGACAAGTTTGCGGGTCTGGTTCGCAGTTCAATGATCGCCACCCCCCGTCTCTGTTTGTTCTCAGGCTCAGCAATTCCTGAGAGACATGAAGGAACAATCGGCCTCTTCCCGATTCGAGGGCAGAGAGGTACCCCAACGGTCGCAGAGTAGCGCGGCCAGCCTGATGTCCTTGGGTGCTGACATATCTCCTAGTTCTTCCCATTTCTTCGAGGTAATTTCTTCTTCTGCTTATTTATTCCCTGTCCAGCCGAACAATTTTTGCCAAAAAAAAAAGTCCCAAAGATCGCCTTCATTTCTGACTAGGTATATTTAATTCACAATTATTTAATTTCACTAATTGTTCAATGGCCAGGATGACGCTCTTAGATATACTGCTGTTTTTCCAGTATGTAATTGTTCGAATAATGTTGTGCCCAACTGTGAATCTTTTTTCTGATTTTCAGGTTCTTTACGTCGGGAAAATTAAAGTATCGCATCCGAAGGTATCGGAGGCCTTTATCGACGATGCGCTCGTACGGTTTCGCGTTCACGGTCTCGAGAAAACGAGATCCTCGGCTAGTAATCTTCTCGCCGAGTATCAGCGTCAATCAATTTTAACGTCTTCCAATAACAGAAGAAACAGCACGGTATGTTTAACCTTTGGTTCCCTCACAGTACTTTATACTACACGTCACGTGTATCACAACGAAATGCTGCCGTAAACCAATATGCTTAGAACCTGGCTAGAACCTACCCGTTCTCTAAAGTCCTCTGATGCACATCGTTTTTCCTGTTGTATGTTATATCCAACATTATTATGCATTTATCCATGCATAACAGTATGACCTTGAAATGACCTTGAACTTTAAAAATTGTAAACTCATTTATATAATTTTTTTTCACTATCTGATTCGTCTTTTGAAACCATATAAATTACGTAAAAAAATATTTCTCGTATGATCACAGAGAGAGAATATATTTAAGTAGCCTCTTTTAAACGGAACACACTGTATATTCACAGATATAAAAGAAATACATAACACCAATATTTAATTTCGTCATTTGGTATACGTATCCATGTGGCAACAGTGGGAACGAAAGGGTTAAAGGATTAATGTCAGCATAGTGGTACAACAACTCGAAATATATATTTAACCGTGTGCATACGTCTCGACCGCAGGAATCCAGCGCCAGCGAGACAGGAAGTATAGAAAATGTCTCGGGAAGCGGCATCATATCACCGATTAATCCGCTGGGAGTACACCCGACGCTCACCGGCTCCGTGGAAGCCTTTCCGAAGCCGCAGAACGCCAGCCTCGCGGAGAAAGACGAACACGAGGAAAATCGGGACACCGCGAACAACAATTCCATGCAAGTGCCGGAAGTGATGCGAAATCGGGCGTTGTCCACGGGCAGCGTTTTGAATCCTAGAAGGGATTCGATGGCAAGAGGGAGCGACGAGCACAATCGTACGATGCTCTTCCAGGTGGGGAAATGATTCAATTTGCCGCGGGAAGGACCTGTAAAGCTCCGATTGTCGCAGTTGTTTTAAAAAGAAACACGAAACCTTCGTTTCACGAGGTCATTTAGTATCAGTATCAATACAATAAAATACAAGTATCATTTAGTGTTATCCCCACCACTGGGGATATCCAGCATGGCATATAGTTTCGCCGTACCTAAAAGGGTTAAAGAAATCGAAGTATAAACGTTTTTTTAATTGGCGATTTAAGTGTCCTGATCTGACGTTGAATTTCAGGTAGGCCGTTACGATTTGAGATTGATCAGTCCGGACAGAAAACAGGTACTCCTTCATAAGCAACTGAGGGACGTGGCCAGTTGCGTGCAAGGTGTCAGGAACCCGGAGCACTTTGGTTTCATTTGCAAAGAGATTAATATAGATTGCTTCATCGGCTATGTGTTCAAGTGCCAGTCGGAATCCGTCGCGGACGACCTTGTCTCTGGTAGGCCAAACTTCTTGTTCCCCTGTATGGTATTGAATGTGTAAGAACTTCTAATAAAACGTGAACACATGTAACTTGCCGGAGGCAGAAAAAAAAAAAGAGCACAGATTTTACTTTACCAAGCAGTTATGTACACTGTTATGCGTACAGTTTTGCAAATGTGATATTTAAACGCGTTTGAATGAACGTTCGATGATGTTTGTTGCAGCTATTTCGCAAGCATTCGTTGGCACATGCGAGGTTCCGCGAAAGGAAAGGTACTCTGTATTTTCGTGTGAACACTGCCCCATGTATTGGTACAACAAACTGTACCAGGAAATCGACGGTAATTTGCCAGACCGTGCATACTTTTATTTCCGAGTAAATTACGGTTCGTAATGAGCTTGGCGTGTGTCTCGTTCGTGTGGTTCTAGGACAGAACGATAGGAGGACTCAGAGCATAATTTTCTCGCGAATGGAACTGCTGCCGGAGGACGAACAGGAGATGGTAGTGAACAAGTACAAAAGCGCCGAGTCCGCTGGCGGCACCGGGGCAACGTTGCGCGAGCAAAATCAGTTTTTAATGAGGCTGCTGCGCGTTCACTGCGAGACGAAGCAAGCCAGGCATGTTCACGATACGGCCGAGAATAGGTAACGATTGTTTCGTTTTTTCACGGAATGATGGTATTTTGTCGTATCTTCGTGCAGTCTGAATAAATAAAGAAAACCAACGGAAACACTGGAATGTTTCCTGGCGAATTTGAAAATACAACACGATTCACGTTGTACGATTTGGAAAAAAATTGTACCTTGTTTAACGTGGCGGCGTTGTTGCAGGAGCGAGTTTCTGAATCAGTACTTAAGCGTGGGCGTTGGAAGCACAATATTCATGAAGGCGAAACGATCACTTACAAATAGTTTTGATAATCTTATGAAGAGGAAGGGTTCGCGGGACGACCTTGGTCTTGGCTCGCATTTAAGTCACACGAGCCACCTGAACACTGTGATAAAAAGTGGTAGCCAAAGCCCAGATATATCGCGACAGCCATCGATAGCGGACATATCACCGGACTCCAGTAGACCGAGGTCATTGAGAGTCTCGCCTGAACAGCAACTGACTGTGAATACTGGACCAAAGAGTTCTATGATGGACATGTATGTAAACACGACGTCAAACTAGCGTTCGATCGAACGAAGACTTCGGCTCTCGTCGACCCTCTGTTCTCATTTTTTCCCTTTGTAGTTTCCTGAAGGTGGGGAATTCGCCAAAAATGTCGCCAACCGAAACAGACGGCAACAACTCGGTACAGTCGAACAGCTCTTGGAGGCAAGCAATATTGAATCGTGTCGTGACTCCGAATAAAGATCAGGAGAAGGAGAACGATAAGTCGGGAAACATGATGAACATCATGAAGACACCCCAGACACCTGCGAAGCGTAGAACGAAACAGGAATTGAGAGATCTCTGGAAGAAAGCGATTAACCAACAGTTGATATTAATTAGAATGGAAAAGGAGAACGCGAGGCTCAGGGGTACTTTCGAAGACTATTTAAATTAAGAGTGAGTTGCTCTGTGTGTACATAATATATTTAATTTTTTTCTTATTTTAGTACGTCAAGAGGAGGCAACCGTCAAGAGAATTAAATTGGAATACGACGAACTCAGCAGCTGTGCCCGTGAATTAGTGGAAGTGTGGGATCTTCTTGTTAGTAAAGAGTCTAGAGTCTCCACAAAGTGTGATAATCAAATGCTTTTACACGCTATAAAACAAGGTAAATAATCAAGAACGTGCGTGTAATAGAATGTAACGATTGTTCAAGTTTGTAATAACAATTTCTGTAACGTAGGTGTACCGAAAGGAAAACGAGGAGAAGTATGGCAATTTCTAGCCGAGCAGTTTTGCTTGAAGCAACCGCCAATAGACACGCGCGATTTTCCTAACTACAATACACCGTACGATCTACTTTTGAAGCAACTTACGTCTCAGCAACACGCTATTCTTATCGATCTGGGGCGAACATTTCCAAATCATCCGTATTTTAGTTCAGCCTTGGGGCCTGGACAGTTGGCATTGTTCAACTTATTGAAAGCTTACTCTCTTCTGGACCATGAAGTCGGTTACTGTCAAGGACTCAGTTTCGTTGCTGGTGTTCTTTTACTGCACGTAAGTGGATGTGTGCCGTACATGATAAATGTATCATGTTAAAATCAAAATACTGTTTCTGTTTACGTGATAGCTTTATATTATCTTTAATTAGATGTCCGAGGATCAAGCGTTCTTCTTGTTGCGCCATCTTATGTTCCGTAGAGGTCTACGGAAATTATACCTTCCTGACATGGCGGCGTTACAACTGTACTTATACCAATTGTCCAGATTATTACACGATAGGTTACCGGCGATTTATAATCATTTCGACAAGCACGAGGTCTCGCCCACATTATACGCGGCCCCGTGGTTGCTGACTTTATTCGCTAGCCAATTTCCATTGGGCTTTGTGACCAGAGTTTTTGGTAAATTTCATTTGCCGTTTAGATACACACATCCGTGAGTGGCTGAAATATTGTACATTTTCTACATCTATTTCCATAGATTTACTCTTCCTCGAAAGCACAGAAGTACTGTTCCGGGTGTCAATGGCATTGTTAGAGGAACATCAAGAACAGTTACTTCAGTGTGACAGTTTCGAAGAAATTATGGAGTATCTGAAAGTAAGGATCAATTATTTTGGAAAACAGATAAACTGGCATGCACACACACAAGCACCGTAGTTCTTGATTATTTTGTAATCGTAGACGCGGGTACCGGCTGTGGACAAAGAAATTCTGGATCGTGTAATGAAACGCGTGTTTTATCCGGATCAAGAGATCACGAAGCAACTTAATGAGTATAGAGTCGAGTACCAAGTGTTGCAGGAAGAAATGATGTCGGTGAAGCCGCAAATCGAAAATATGGAGAAATTGAAAGTTTTGAACAAGCAATTGACGCAAGAAGTCACGCAGCTCAACGAGCAACTCGAAGTAAATTATAATGCACTTTATTTGAACAGTTATAGAATTACAGTTAGACAATTAGTTTACCCAGAAAATCTACGTTTTTCAGATGACCATGAGTAATTTGCATCGTTTGGAAACTGCCCGTTCGGTGCAACAATCGACTCTCCTGAAATTGGAGTCTCAAAACCGCAGTCTAGAAGTAACAGTCACGACACTTGGGGCCTTCGTTCAACAATTATCCGACACCCGACCGGACATCGAATTCCCGGGCGAGATCCGTCGGATAATCGCGCAGCTCAGTCTTGCAGAGAAACGGAGGAACGTAACAGGAAGATCCTATCCTCTGAAAGTAATCGAGGACAATAATAAATTCGGAATGATTAAGAGTAATTCTACAGGCAGAGAGTCCCACAACTTCTTGAAGAACAATAACACGGTGGACGCGCCTTATCCATTGAAGTCGACCTTGAGCCAACCGAATCTGGCTACCAAGCTCGAAAGGATGTCGTCGTTCTTCTCCAACTCGCACAATCATATACAAAAGCAACGAGCACAATTGGCCACACTCAGAAACGAATACTCGATCGAGCAACCGGCCCGGAACGACGAAAACGATCCAAAAACGGTGAATATAGACATTCAAATCACTGACACGATGACTCCAACCAATGAACAGGTAATCCAACACGACAACACCCTGAAGATCCAATTGGAGAACATGGAAAAGTCGATTTCCTTGCCGTTGAACGCCCGGATGAAGTTGAAGTCGTCGAAATCTGCGTACGAATTGGGATCGGTTAAGAAAGTGCCGACTACCAAGTTGGAAGTCACGAATGACGATGACACGGCGAATTTAACGGGCACGATGCATCCTCTCGATACTTGCAGCGACGTGAACTTCAAATATGGCGGAACGACTAAACTGAAGTCCATTAAGTCCACCAGACTTCCAAGTCCGAGCGGGCAAGAAGACAGCAGCGTCCACAAGAACGCTCAGAATCAGAACGTAGAGACGTTGAACAGATAACAATTACTTATGATGTTATGCTCGAGGAAGATACCTTGGAAGGTGACTTCCTTGAGGAAAGTATATCCGACAAACTAATAATGAACAAGTATACAACGTGTTTAGTACTGTGTTACTCACTTATAAGAGCGTTTCATTTATTCTGTCCACTTGAAATATCTTTGTTGTTTTAATGCTATGAAAAAGTACGTATGAAACACATCATTTGTTTCAAAGAGATAAATATTACAGTTACTAACACTTTGTTTTAAAAGTAAATTCTAATATTCGTTTCTTTGAATAATGAAATCTTTCTCTTGTACGATTTTTCATATCATTAAAAAACATTGAAATATACAAGTGCTCGAGATAAGTAAACCGCTCTGTATAGACACACACACACACACACACACACACACACATAAACTTTTGATACGACGATCGATTTTCATTTTTTAACAAATGTTACCTTTGCGGATTGTCGACCGAACCGCTCAGGGTCATCCACACTTCCCTTTTATGATACTTATACCAATGATTTTAATACCTTATCGCGAATGCAAGAGTAGAGAGAATGAGAGAAACAGAGTCAATTTATAATATATTAAAATATGATAGGTGAATATGTTAGTATATAATATATATATATATATATAAAAGAAATTAGGATGAAGCTGTGAAATAAGTTAGTACCTACTACAAATATTTATCTAATTCGCATAGTACCTATTAATTCTGACTAGTAAGAGAGAGTATAGGGAACATTTACGTACATATAATATATACGAACTTGCCGATTATAAGAAATTTGTTTAAAATAACAGTAACACAGAGAATTCTGTTTAACTCTATAACACGATAGAATTTATAATAGATAATGGTGAAATATAAAGTTTATCAAAGCTATTTGTCCACGTGTTACTGGTGCAAACTAAACTAAATTTCTTAGAGTCCAGCAGAGACAAAAGTCATATCCGTAAGCTAATGTGTGTATCAGAGTGCATAGTAGGTTGTTGGCAAAAATAATAGGAATCCGTTTAATAAGGCAAACACCGTTTTGCCCAGTGAACGATCTATTTTTCGTTCTTGGCAATGAATCTTTTGATATTTTCGCTATTAAATGAGAACATTATTTTAGCGGTGAAACGTGAGTCAATTGAAATTCTTGACGGCCTTTCAATGCTTTCCTTAGAATTTAACGGCTCGAGTTAATAATAGAATCTATTTTACTGTCTCGATAAGAAAAGTTCCTATTACTTTTGCGTGAACCATCGCGAGAAGTGCCAAACTTTGAAAAAAAAAAACAAAAAAAAAATTTGTGAATAGTGTGTAAGGGAACGCAAATGTTTTATGAAATGATCATCAAAGGAGTTGTACCTATACCGTGTATAATTGGGAAATGCATACTTATAAAATATAATTTATAGACTATTGTGCACTGATTCGAAAAATCAAGTATTACTATTTTTGCACAAAATGAAGCCTTGTGATGTCAGGGATATGTGTAATGTCATTCAGCATTCTTACAGTAACTATTCACGTTACCATTTTTCCAATTACAAAATTTCGATATCAACAAATTATATTAATATTCAGTAACCATTGGTGGCAAATAATATCAAACGTTTCATTGACAACCAATACGAGACCCTTTCATTCGACGTGGAATAAACATCTTTTCAGTCTCGCGATAAAATATTTCACACTGATGAAAAATATGAGACAGATGTTCAATAAAATGTTTATATAGTAATGGTTAGGAACAATAAACATATTTTGTAGTGTTCAGGTCTATATCTTCCAATTAGTGATTTGTACGAATAGTTTCTAGGAATTTAAATATACATTGTGATTGAGAATACAGAAGTAAACGGTATAATCCCAGTTTTCAAGTATTTGTAGACTTTATGGACATGTTATTACGGTAGTGTAGATGTTAGTCGTCATGGACACTGTTCTCCTCTTAACTTTATTGTGATAGCAGTGACTGTATTTACCTAAAGAAACTATTTCGAACAATTGAAAGAGGTGACGAAACATATTTAAATATTTATACTGTTTTGTATATATGGAAAAAATTCAGACAATTTTCACAGCAAGTATACGTTCAGTTTTATATTTTGAATCGCCGTATACAACTTATATAATGACTTCAAATCACAAGTATCTATTACAATGCAACATATGAAATAAACAATTTTCCGGAGAAGAATCGAAGAGACATAAAAGAAATCAACCTCTTTTATAAACTGACAAAAATGTTGTTTTATTATCCTGTACGTGAATTAACAAATCAAAAAATGTGCAATGTACTTCTTGACGTGTAACGTTCTATTCTGTCTGCAAAATGTGCCGATAAGACATTTTGTCTGTCTGTATATTATTATATATACAATTCCCATTAAAGTTAACGATAAAGCTTTTAATGCTTTGACTTCGATATACTAGTCCTGAAAAAACATAACAATTTTTAGATGGTAACAATTTAAAGTTATTATTGCTTGCAATACTAAATTTTCTTACGTTTGCATCTGTTTACTGCCACTAAGAACTATATACGGTGATTGAGTCTCTTTCTGTTTCGCCTGCAGCAAATTAAGCGTACCCAGAGGCGTGTCAGTAGAGGACATCCGTTTCATTAAAACTTCCTGTTCTGCCTTTTTCATTCGTTTTTCAACCTGAACATCAGAAAATTATATTTACTGCAGGCAACTATTTAAACCAAAAATATCAGGCAGCACGAAAAATACATAGGTACGAAAGTAGTAGGATAAATATCAAACAGATTAGGATTTATTATTCTGGATCTAACCTTATTTTTTCCTGGACCTTTCCCATGGAACTTGTGGGACAGATATCTAAAGGCTTCTTTCGCGCTCAGAACGTGTCCATCGTCGTCAATATACTCCAGCTTAACGTTCGGTTTAAAACCATCTTTCTCTTTAAAATCAGATGTGGGTCCGTTGAAACGATCTCTTCTACCGAACTTGTCATCGTCTCTGCAAAAGAAAACCGATTAAAAGTATAGAAAAGTGTAAGGGATGGACATAATAGACTTTTTTTAATATAATAATTTACAGTGGTCCATGAAATTCGGTGTTCGAAAATTTACGTTACTACGAATACCTATTGAAAAATCTATATAATTTCAATGCAAACTGTAACATTGTTAAGATACATTACATTATGCGATTAGGTCAACGTAAATCTAAACAAGTCAATTGAAGTATCGCAATTACATCTACACTCGTATTTAGTAAATTATTAATCTGTTCTTTTTTTTTTTAGAGAACCAAGTAAAAGAACAATGTGAAGGAACCTTATCCTGATAAAAAGTTTTTTTTATCTCATACTCTGTATGTGTCGATACATGCAATATTAGGGTACTTATAAAATAAGTGAAAACTTTTTCAGCTGATCGTTTAGTAATTATGTCGTATATGAACATGTGATGAAAATCATTTACATATCCAGATGTGTCCCAATTATTGAACGATACACTTGTAAAAGTGACCAATCATTTAATGTTTCTATAACAGAAACTGTGTTACTGATATATAGCGTACGGAGCTGTTGCGTTTCCGGTTTTTATACTGCTATTCATTTTATTAATTATAATCGAGTGAATGCTATTTTCCCACTGGACTTGTCTAGAATGTTTGCGCAGGTCTGGCTCAGCAACAATAGAATCGCATAATATAAACATACCTCAATGAATCCGCTTTTTTCAGGCCTTCGATCACCTCCGACAAAGTAGTTAACTCTTGTAGCGGTAGCGGATCATCCATTTCCGAGCACCGAAATCCGAGCTCTATTTAAGACTGTTAACTAACAGTTTGAAATTCACTAGAGACTCGTCTAACAAGATTGCCGAATATATTCAATAAAAGAATATTTCTTACGTCCGTTTGCAAGGCTTCTCGCTTGTGAAACGTAGTGTAAGAAAGCTTCTTGTATTGAACAAAAATGATATTCCATACATACCCGTAGGTTTTGTCCTCTATCGAGTAATTCTGCGCTTGCAAGTGGGCAAACCGAGATGCAGACGGTCGACTGCTATCTTCTTTTTGCAAATAACCTTTGCTCATCGCAAGCTTTAAAGCTCCGCCAACGCCATGTCCGAGCGAGGGTTCTGCATCTAGAATGGCAGCTTCCATTGCTACCGGTTCTGACGTTCCTTCATCTAATAAAAAAATATAACAGGTCACACCCAGGTATACAAAAAAAAAATGGTAAAATATAGTTTATACTCTTAAAACCATAATACAGTGCGTTTTAAAGCGGATAGAAGGAACCTAGAATACAATTTCTTTCATATAAATATGACCAGCCATGTTTTGTCACTTATTACCTTGCCCTGTTACGTTATCCGTTCTAAAACATTCTGTATTTAGAGCACATATGAATACCTAATTGTACTGTATTCCATGCGCCACGACCGTCATCTTCTTCTTCATTCGCAGGTGGTTCTTCCTTGACCCCGTCAAATTCAAAGTCCTATCGTTACAAGAAAACAAAAATATAGAAAACATAATTTAATCTCCTGACTTCTGGTTTTAAAAGATTAGACTCCGAATACCATAAGTTCCTGGCCATTCTCCTCTCTGTTTCCAGCTAGACCGTATGTAGGAATGTCTCCCAAAGTTCTGCAAAATTCTGCGGTAGCATTTAGGACAATATACCCGGACTGATTTTCCTCAGAACCCGTGGGCTCCTGTTTTAAAGTTTCAACGACTTGTTCAATATTCGACAAATGGGATTCCTTCGAGCGCTGTGCTTTTTTCAGCGCTAATTGTAGTTCCAATTCCTTATCGTCCTCTTCTAATTTTATTCCGCTGAGATCCTCGGTAGGAGCTTCATTGGGAGATCGAAAAGTATTTGCTTGTAAAGTTAGAGACCATCTAGTAAGTGATGTTAGAAGGCTTACACGTTAACACATTCGCTGCGTACACCGCGAATACGTGTCGACTGTGAACTTGGCAATATATGTACGTGTGAGACACGGTACGCAGCGAACGTAAAATTAAAATTATACAAGGAGACTATAATTATAAAAAATGTACGAAATACCTCCTAAGTCGTCTACATCTAAAGTGTCATTGTCTTTCACTTCGTCGGGTCGTTTGCTTCTTCTACTTCCAAGATCTCGAAGATAGTCGTTATCTTCAGTAATCAGATCATCCGCTTTTAGCTTCTTTCTAATCTTTCGAACCTACAAAGAGACAATATGTGAATATTACTTGAAATAATTGTTCTCATAAATCGTACTTCAAAGATTTACCTTTTTCTTTGGTTTTTTGAATTTCGCAAGTTCTTTGTCATTATAGTATTCACTAGCTAGCTTTGGCTCTGCTAACTGTAACGATTCTAATCGTTTGTTTGCTAAACGTTGCTTAACGTAATCAAGTTTCGATTGTTTCATATCTTTGTTATTCATTCCCAATACAAAATTATCCTTCTTTTCACCCTCAATCTCCTCATCATATTTTTCCAAGACAGTTTTCTTCGGAAAGCCATACTCATCGAAGTTGTCATCGTCATAAGCGTCATAACCAGGTTTCTTAGTCTTGTTCAAAATATTGCGCTGATATCGTTCTTCGTCAGTTATGTTAACATTAACGAGAACATCTTCACCTTCATTTAGTACTTCCTGGTCTTTCAGAGTTAAGATGACTGCTTTACCTTCTTCGAATTTTTCCTGTGTAACAGTGGAATTTTCATTCAAACTTCGTCATTGTATTGATAAAAATAGTGTATGAGTGTTGGTACTTACAAGACTATGCTCTACTTTAAGACCTTTTAAATTCTTTGCTGTGTACGCCGTATTACGCGCTATATGCATTTCTTCTTTCACCAAATTTCCTATACCAAATTCTTCATCCAACTGATCCAACATTTTTGCCTTGAATAAAAAATTAAACATCAACCTCAAACTTGCTAACATTTCAGTAGATACAAGAGAATTCTTAAAAATGTATGTACCCTTTCTTCAGCTTTTTTCTTTTCCTCTTCCAAACGTCTAGTTTTATCAATCCAAGCTTTGGTATCATCATCAGACTCAAAATCACCTAAACTTTTAACTTTCGCTAAATTAGCTTCAATCTGTCTCTTCTGTTTCTGAGTACTGATTTTCTCTTTCAACTTCTGTGTTTTTAACTTTTCATTAACATCTGGTGCAGGTTTATGATAAAATTCCCCCAGGTCATCCTTGATCTTATTAGGGTCGTCCTTCGAAGTGCTATCAACCTCTAATGGTTTCAAACCTAGTTTTGCTCTCAACTTATTTGTTTCTTCGATAGATAGAGAAGTTTGTGCAGCTCCACCTTTGCTTGGAGATGGACTACGTTGCTTAGATATTTCTGGTGGCGGAGGTGTAGACGGATGCAATGATTTAGAAATTTTCGGCGGAGGTGGCGCGTTAACTATCTCGACTGGAATGAGACGAAGAGAACATTAACTGATACTAAATGTGGTATGCTTTTGATAGGAAATGCTTATGTACCTATGTAAGATATAAATATATATGCTTCAATCCCCTCCAAATTATTTAATCTTGAAACCAGAGAGGAACGACACGAGAACCGAATCGAAAGCGTAGCTTAATGAAACTGCTCGTAAACAATTACAATTAGGGGAACGTGGCGTACGGTCGGATTTTCAAAAACCGTACGACACCATCAATGTAGCTCTAATACTTTAAAAAGGAATGAATCAGATAATAACCATCGCTGTCATAATCCTTCCGCTCTTTCCTTCTATGCTTTTTGTGATGTCTGTGCTTTTCCGATTTCTCGCGCTCAGGTGTGTAACTTCGTGATCGGCTACGATGACGCTTCTTCTTGACGTCCCGACTCTTCTCGGCTTTGTGCCGTTTATTCGAACCCATTTCTTGATCCGCGATTAACAATCCACAACACCTAAGCAATCTGTTTTTATTTTAGATCTCCTAAAATGCAAGCTATTCAACAATAATACTAAATCGCCCACTCTGTGCCACTCTGTTCAACATTCGCCATCTTACTTATGGTCGGCATGTCGGCTCGATGTTCAAAATAGTTGTCCATCGAACTGGACAAAACTAAATAGTTAAGCATAAACAAGATATAGAGTAGACCTAACATCCAATTTAATTTGCTGTCAAATTCTTCGGGGGCTCTAGAACCCCTTTACCATTTTAGTGTCAATAACATCACAAACATCGCATAAAAGATATTTCATTATATTCACATTTGTAATAATTATGGATGTTAGGGGAAATCAATATTATTGGCATTACGCAACATTTTTTGGTCTGCAGCCAATTTTGAAATTCTGAGCCAATTAATAATCATTCACTTTTGAGAAAACAAAACTAACAATAACAATTCATTCATCATCAGTTATAAACACCTGTGTATGACAAAATGATCACGTAGTTCGTTTTCTCAAAAGTGAATGATTATTAATAATAATAAATCGAAAAGATCGCTGCCGCATGTGGCACACGGATTCTCCTCTGTCCGTGCGTTGTAAACGTATTAAAAAAAAGATATTCTCACTTTATATAAAGTAGGCTTGGGTACTTTTGATTTGAAATGAAAACTACAAATAAAAAGAGCCAATATTTATTCCAAATAAAATAACAGATAAGTTTATTTGAAAACAAGGATGTATGCAAATAAATTCCAAAATCTTATTTCAGAAATAAATTATTTCTAAATGATTTATTTGCCAAATATTTGGTTATTTAAAATAATAATGCAAAATGAAAAATAATAGATTTTCGTATATTGTTTGCTTAAATTAATGGGACAGTACGTAGATATACGTGTTCGTAAGAGCATATTAAAAGTAATTAGTTTTTTGTACGCGAACACAAATTCCGACAAATCCGACCCCGAACCTGCACAAGCTCGGTGAAATCGGTATGAAACACTTCGTAGGTTTATTTTTATTTTATTACTAATAATTCTATGGTATATGTATATTGCATATATTTGTAGCATCCTGAAAACGGGTATTAACGAGCCATTCGACGTCGAAACGCACAGAAATGCGGTCTTAATGACCGATTTTTTTCGAATTTGCAGCATTTGTTGATAACTAAATAAACGAAACTAAATTGTGTAAAATTTTAGGTTCTACTCTTGAACCGTTTCCGAGAATTTTCCTTCCGGGAATGCCTTACCGTAATGAACCTTCTCGTGGCCGCGGGATTCCGAGAATCGAGTGACGTCACGGCGTGCGAGCGAGAGCGGTAGAGCGAGCCGCGGTATCGGTGCTCTCCGTCGGTGTGATGCGTGCCGAGGAATTTCGGTGGTCTATGGG